TACCGATATGGTGGCCGATATATTGTGCATCCCTAATATATATATTTCAAAACTGTTCTTCATCACCGTTTGATTCCTCCCAGCTACTCGCATCCTTCCCAGTCAGCTGGAAGTGAGATGCGTTGAAATGTACGTGGCTGCTGGGAAAAGTCCGAGCCAAGAGCTCATGTGGTTGTGGGCCCAGCAGAATAAAACCGTAGGGGATCTGCTGAAGGTTCTGGATGAGATGGGTCACGCTCGAGCCAGGAGTCTTTTCCAATCACAAGGTAACATCTTCATCGTAAGACTCGAATTCTGGTTGTTGTGTTTCCCTTTGCGAAAATGTACAGTACCATGTTACCTGTTGGCTATGCCAGTAATTTACTAAATAAAAATCATTTTAAAAGGCAAAAAGAGTCTGAAAAGTCTAATTTATTGTTTTATTAGTAGTGGCAAGTAAGTAACTACACTGTAAAAAAAAAAAAAATTCCACCTAAAACAATTTGTTACCCTGCTGACTAAAATTTAAGTTTAAGTCAACTAAAATATCCAAGTTGTCACTTACTTAACATTAAGTAACGTAAATTTCAAGTTGACAAAATTTAACATTTTTAGTAATGAGGTAACAAATCAAAAGTTGAAACAATTTTTTTTACAGTGTAATATATAGGTGTAAACTATTGTAGGGGTTGTTTACATTTTACTGCCTCCTTTTAGCTTCCTCTTTTAAGTCATAGAAGCTACAGTATCTATACCATATAGCATTATTATAACGTATATTTTAATTTAAAGAGGAACCTGACAAACCTAAATATGACATGAACTGTAGTGAAGCAAAACAAAACATGTGATTTAAATAACCACAGCTGTGCATGTAAACCACAGTGCAGTTCTAACAATCGTATCACCCGCAAAACCACAATTCATCGGCACACACCTGAAACTGCTAGTGATACTGCTATGAAACCACTGTATAACGAACCTTAACCAAACATTTAATTATTTTCTAGACTCCTGCATGCTGAAGTCATCCTCGCCCACTCTCTTTGCCACGGTAATGTCTTTTTTGATTCTGTTATCAGCCTACAGATTTTTAAAGCAGATGCTGGTCAGATGCTTGACTTTATTCTGGTTTAGGTGTGTTAGAATACAAAAAAATGTGCAGTCGCTAAATGAGCAGTTTTAGTTTTACTTATTTAGTTACATTATGTATAGATATTATGTTTTCACATTCACCCTGTATTTTGTATTTTTCTTTTTTTTATTCAGCATCTGCCAAACACTGAGGGATCCTGTCAAATCTCACCTCTTAATCCAGTGTCTGTTTCTGTTAAAGGTAATTTGTACAAGTGCATTTAAAATAGGTTTTCACTGTGTTTGTGTCAGTTAGCATTATTGTACATGTAGCTGTGTTCAGTACTAACTGTAGCTGTCTTAATAGATATTAGGTGGAAATTTCCATTTCTACTTTGAGCGGTTTCATAAGGATATGAGATTAAACCTTATTTGTCCATCTCAGGTGAAAAACAGAAGTATTTCATCACATATAATGACGTCATAGAGGGAACGAGACATTTCCACCAGGACTTAAAAATCGGAGCAAGTGCATTCACCGAGGTCTACTGCGGAAAATGGGGAAACGGGTCTTTTGCTGTGAAAGTTTTTAAACAGGTCATAGTCTATAAATATCTCAAAACGTTACGCAAATCATCTTTTTACAAATTGTGAGCAGAGCAAGTACTGACCTAGTGTTAATTTTCACATATATATATATTTTTTACATTAATAGGCCATTCGAATTTACCATTATAATTGTGTTTTTTTTCTGTTATTATTATTATTATTACATCTGCCATTCTATTATTGTGTTTTTTTTTCTGGCAATTGTTCTATTACATATTAATAATAAAACAATATAATAAAAAATAAAAGACCATTATAAAATTGTTTATTATTATTGTTATTATTACATTAATCTTCCATTCTATTATTGTATGTTCTTTTCTGGCAATTGTTCTATATTAATAATATAATAAAAAAATACAAGAACATACTACTACTAATTATAATGTACTAATTATTTAATTAATTGCTGGACATTATTTTACTATAGAAAATGGGGAAACATCTTTTGCTGTGAAAGTTTTTGTACAGGTCCTAACTAATTAATATCTGATTTCACATACATATATCATGCTGTTTTGAATAACACTTATCACATTTTGTATTATTTTAACAGGGAAACAAAGCTAATTGGAAGGCATTGTGGGAAAAATTCACCAAAGAAATTGAAGTTCTACAACTGTAGGTTCAGTAAATGGTTGCTTGATCATATTCCAATGACTTTTCAAATGGTGTTGATCATTTTTCCATGAATCTCATTTTTGTCTGTTTAGCTACCAGCATCCTAATATCTTGGAGCTATGGGGCAGCTTTTCAGAAGCAGATCTCTTCTGTTTAGTTTATCCGTACCTTCATAACGGATCACTGTTCCACAGGCTTCATGAGGTAAATCATCTGCCAGCAAACTAACATGTTTCATCATAGCAGTCTAAAGTTGAAGGTTTTTTTATACTCTTGTCACAGGAAGTTCAGAGGCCTCTATCATGGCAGGAAAGGCTGAACATCATCAAAGGCACCGCAAAGGCAGTCAACCATCTACACACTGCACAACCGTGCATGGTTATTTGTGGAAACATTACGAGGTGCCAGTGTGAAGCCATATCTACAGCTTCTAGATGCCCAGTGAAGATGATACATTGAAATGAGCTTGTTTTGTGTTGTGTTCACAGTTCAAACATACTCCTGGATGAGCACCTGCAGCCCAAATTATCAGATTTTGGATTAGCTTGTCTTAGACCTCACTCTGTCGACCAGAGCTGCACTATAGTCTTGGATACCGCTTCTCATAGCAACCTTTGCTATCTCCCAGAGGAGTACATCCGTGATGGCAAGCTGTCAGTCAAACTTGACGTGTACAGCCTTGGCATGGTGAGCGCAGCATCCTGTTTAAAAAATGATATCCGGAGCCAGGTACAATTTGTACAAATAAAGATTTATGTCTGCATTTTAATGCTAATGATTCAGCTGCAGAATACTGGCTATTAAAATTTCTTTCTCATTTATGACTGGCCCAACATAATTCAGCTTTTTTTCCCCCCCTTACATTTCTTTTAAATTTTCTTTTTATGCTTGTAGGTTATATTAGAGACATGTACTGGACAGAAGGTGAAACAAGAGTCAGGAAAAAGCCTGTTTTTGGTAAGAAGTAAGAATCTACTTGAGGAATAAAAA